AGAAGGGGCGGTGGTGGGTTGAACGCAGCTGGGAAGCGGCTGACCGGTTGGGTGTGGATCCTTCATGCAGAGCCTGATTGCTGATTGGACACGCCGGGTGAGGTCCAGAGCTGAGGTCGGAGATGAGCATGACGTCGATGGGCGAATGGAGTCTTCCAGTCTGAACTTCCGCTTTAGCTCCATAACCACTGGCCTAATCCTTTACTCAGCATAAAAAACCAGGAAGCTAACACTGCTAATGTCATGGAGCTGAAGAGTTTGTGAATGGAGTCATAAAAATGTGAGTGAACGCTGGAGAGGATTTTCCTGATCAACAGATGGAGACGTTTTCACTGAACTCTGAGGTGGACTAAAGAATCTACATGCAGGTTAAGTTGGTGAACTTTAACCTGAACATGTTTGAACATGCAAGTTTTGATGACTGACAGTTTTTGACTGTTTTGAGACATTTTAGGAAGACGTTAATCTTTATAAGTAAAGTTTGTGTTACAATTAATAAGACTTGATTAAAATTGAGTTAAAAATGCAAAATTCACTTCCCATTTATTTGTCAGATTAATAAAGAATAATCCAGAGATGATTTTAGAGACTTTCCTTTTAAAGATTTGCTTCCTTTCAGAAAGCACTGCGAAAACATACAAACATTAATGACTTCCTTCTTTACAGAAAGAAATCACCCCTTCAGTTGACGTCAGTCCACGTATCGAGCATTTACAGTGGAATTAAAAAACATTGCTTATATTTGCTAAGTTAAATAATTTTGTACATGATAATTTGAGATAAAACTAAATATGGATGCAGGTTAAAAGAGGATTTCAGGAAACTGCTTGGATCCGTGTCGCTGTTTTGATGAAACTTCTCCTCCCTCTGTTCATCACTCTCCCAATCTCTCTCTTGGCGCTCTCATTAATTAAACAGTAGATGATGGGATCCAGAGTGCTGTTCAGGGTCGTCATGGCGACCGTGACCAGGTACGGGTCTCTGAGGCGGCGGGCCCAGCCGCAGGCCCCCGGCTCCAGGACGACCCGCAGGAACATGACCATCTGGTAGGGCACGAAGGAGGCGACGTAGGTGATCAGCAGCAGCAGCAGCAGCAACCCGACTTTCCGCCGCTCTTCCTCCAGGATGGAGCGGCTCCGTCTGAGCGACTGCATGATCTGCTGGAAGCACAGCGTCATGACAACCAGAGGAAACAGGAAGCCGAGCACCACCCGAACCAGGGCAACGTCAGCGTCCTTCTGTGTCAGGGGCATCGGCTGGTGGCACAAGTTGAATGACTGCAGCGCCCCCATATGGTGAAGCAGGAGAATGTGAAGAAAAATCTCCAGGAGCCAGACGGCAGCGCTCAGCAGAGCTGCGGCCCTGACCTCTCTGACCCAGTGGAAGTGGAGCGGGTAGACCACGGCCAGGTAGCGGTCCACAGAGATGCAGCAGAGCAGACCCGAGCCCACGTAGAAGCTGTTGTACATGATCAGATACATCACACCGCACAGTTGATCAGAGATGTTCCAGCGCTGCGCCATCCCGATCCAAACGGGCAGAGTGACCGTGTAGAGCAGGTCCGAAACACACAGGCTGACCAGGTAGACCGCCATGCTGTTCCCCTGCAGCGCCAGCTTCCAGGCTACGAACAGAGACAGGCAGTTGGCTGGAAACCCCACGATAAAGAATAAAGAGTAGACGGTGGGGTACATGTGCTGCTCCACTGAGGAGTTGGAGCTGCAGGAGCTCTGCATGAGCGTGGAGTTCATCCTGGCACCACAGAGTCCGATCCTGAATGGGACTGTGTCAGGAAAAGTCTCAGATCTGCTCAGTAATGCAAATAAGACAACTGGACAAACAAGCTTGGGTTTAAAATAGCTTCACCAGGCAACAGAACCAAAAAAGGAAACAGATTTTAGGTCTGAAATGTTGTCAGANTCATTCTAAAGTAGAGCCAGCTCATCAGATGTTTCATCTAAACGTTTTATCTCCCAGGCCATCATGGGACACAGAGGAAGTTTTGCATGACTATGTTCATAGAAAGCCTCTCCAATGTTTTTCTTCCGAGTTAAAACTAATATCAGCAGAACGTACAACCTGCACTCTGAGCTTTCCAGCAGTCTATTTGCATATGACTCCAAGCTATTTGATGCCTGCGAGTGATCTGCTATCAGATCGGACCGGTCTCCTCCTGAAAGGTTCAAAAAGGTCACAGACCTTCTTCCAGTAACATTTTGTAAAATTAACAGTGAATGGAAGATGTTGCTTTTCTTTTCTTATGTTTACCAGATGAAGATTTCAGGAAACATCCATTTATTTTTCTGTTTCCCATTTTTAATTGTGATGTTTTGAAGCTTGAAGACCTTATTGACTGAACCAGTGTAGAGGAATATAATTATATTAATAGTTAAAAGTCATGTTGGTTGATTCACATTAAGTTATGTTTTGACTGAAAAGAAAAGTACTGAATTCCTGTCTGACCTAGAAGTCAGACAGGAATTCAGATTGGAGAGATGTGAAATAAACAATCACCAAAGAGGGAAACGTTAAGTTGCTGTGCAAGAAACCTTTGGCAAACGTCCTTTCCTGTTTGCGTGTGAAAAAGTCGGCCAGAATGGGAAAAAATCTTTATTTGGACAGATAAAGAACCAACAACATGACTAATAGTTTTACTGAAGGAGCAGATTTAACTTACACGAGGTCAGCCTCTAACCCTCTGAACTTCCAACACACATCCAGTGTAAGACGGAGCCAGAATTGCTATGCAAGCGAGGTCCGGTAACGCCATTGGTCAAAGCTTTCCAATACACAACAGTAGGGCTGGAAGGTATAAAACCCTGATGTCAGAAGTAAGAGACAAGACATTTTGGATTCTGAGACGATGAAAATCTGATGTGTGAATCCGCAGATGTGCATTAAATGTCTTCCTGTTTATCTATGAGCAGAGAGAATGGAGTTTGTGTACAGTTTCTTATTTATGTATTTCATGAGGTTAGCGCCTTTAAATTCCTCTATCAGCGGACGCCGGGTGAAGAAGTGCTGGGAAAAGCTTTCTGGATTCTCTGGAATTGTAGTAAACTCAAACTAGGAAGAAGATAAGAGAGAAAGAAACGCGAGAGAGATTAACTATTTGCATAAGCAAAGAGTGGAAACTGCAGACAACTATACAAAACAGGAGTGTTGCATGACTATAACCCTGTGATTCACATGCTCTAGTTACCAGAAAATAAGAACTAGGAGCTAAAAATCCAACAGTTTGCTTTCTGAAGCAACATGAAATGTACGTGTCATGTGAGGCTGGAGCCAGGCAAAAGTTTAGGAGTTAAATGTTAGAATAGAAACCGATTGTCCCACTGAGGGACATTCAGGTCCATCTGCAGCAATTTACAGGTAAACAGAAAATAGAAGAATGAGGCTTTACTGTAAGGAACACAGAGGAAACAACGCAGTTATTATAGGGCTGACATTATATTTTCCAGCCACATGGTGACATTTTATAGCACAATCAAGTGGCTGTGTTAGTTGTTTATAGTCAGTTGTTATAAAATGTAATTTTTTATGTTTCTGCTGGTATTTTTATGATCTATTAGTCTTGTAGCAGCAAGAGACCCAGACGGAGTTGAGACTGGGCAGATATTAAACATCCGGCCAGTGAAACGATGTTCCAGTCGTTGTTCGGTGAATCCATTAGCACATAGCTGAGAATGGCTGCCTGTGGTAAAGTTGTTTAATTATGCAGCAGTTTGATTTTGTTATTCTGAAAGCTTTTCCTGTGTACAGTTTAGCAAAGATGTTTCTGTAATCTGAGTCACATAAAGTTAAACTTTTGACCAAGATGAAGAACCACACTGGCTAAAAATAATCACACCTTTGATTTAATTTATGTTCTCTGTTTTCCTGTAGCACTGACTGCCTTCATTTCTTTTTTCACTCTGGCTACATCAGGACTGCACATCAGGCAATGTTTTATAAAAAGTTCAAGGGAAACGGAAGATATTAGGCTGAACTAAGTTACACATTTAAAATTGTCAACAGCCGATATTGCATATGAAAACTACAAATTCTCACACAGCATGAGCCGTGGCTCATTTATCTCTTATCTGTCAGCTAATAAAATAAAAATAATATTTTACGTCAGTTTGTTCTGTTTTGGCTGAGATAAGGAATGTTCCTGTTAAATAATCCTGTAAATGTTCATTTATTCCACTTCTGTTGAGCAACAATTTGCAAATTAAAAATGTAATTAAGCAGTTACATACTTTACCTTCCAGGTTCTTCCAGATGAGAAACAGAAAAACTCAGATACATTTTATTTTTCCTTTCTTGTTTTTGACTTTATTAAAAGTAGAAAATCTCATTTTAAAACACAATAGAGGAGAACATCCAGGTTTACCAGCAGCTAAAGGTAAACAGAAACATGCATATTAAAACTAAGGTTGATAAACTTTCAGTCACAATGCTCTAAAATTTATATATGAAAGTTGCCATGGCAACAACCACAAACGGTCCGGCGTGAGAGGAGAGTGAATTTTCCTCAAAGTGATGTAGAAAATACATTAAACTCAGTTTTATACGTTTACAGTTTAAGGAAAAAATCAACATGCAGGGGATTAAATAATGTTAGCTAAAAACCAACATATGTATTTATTATATGTTAAGGTTTTGATCTGTGCAGATAACTTCATGGAAAATGCTATAATAAAAAGAATTAGCTAAGCACCCGGTGAGCTGATGAGATCATGAACATTTAAATTATTAATGTTTCAGTGGCGTTCTGTCAAAGTGGGCAGACTTTTCCAGACAGCTTTTCTAAATGCACCTGAGGGAAATATTAGGTCTTATCAACAGGAAGGTTTTATCTTTTTAAATACAGACTGAATGCTGTGAAACATTTGATCCACTTGTAAAAATCTTGTTCTAAGCTGATTTTTTGCAATAAATATGTAACTAACAGGATAAAGTGCCGTGAAAAGGTTCTGGGCCTCTTTAAGATCTGGTGATATTTTGTCCTTGTTGCTCTGAAATGTTTCAGATGATTAAATACTTTTTGATATCAGAACTGAGCTGAACAGATTCATTCTGACCCACTGATCCTTTCTGATCTGGAGAGTCCAGTTCACAGTCCTTTCACAACACCTGGACTGAATTCAAGTCCTGACTTTGACTAGGCCGCTTCAAGGCCATCATTCACTTGTTTGTGTTAAGCTGTTTTGTATTCACCTCACTGGTGTGTTTTTTATCATAAACTGATGGAACTCTAAGAATTTTCTGATGAATGTTATTGATTATGAGAGATATTCAGACTTGTTGATTTGACATCTCAGTAATCTGGCCTGGTTAATGAAAATGTGAATGTTTGATTATTTAATGAGCGGGACAATTATATTTTCTCAGAAGGGCTGGTGTGTTTTCTTTCCTCCTAAATAAATGAAATCGTTCTATGGAAACAACTTTTTATATTTACTCAGATTATTTTTGTTTGGGAGTAAAATGATAAAAGCAATCAGATGGAAAACAGGTTTTACAGACACACTTTCAATCAATAATTTGGATTTATGTTCCACAGAAAACCCCATGGAGCTCAATGTACAGAACTGGGTTTGATCTGCTGCTCAGAAGGCCAGACTCTGTCTGCTGTGACCCCATCAGACCCAGAACGTTTTCTTCAAATTTATCCAACGCTTATCCACGCGTACCGGAGCGGGAGGGATTCATTTCTATTCAGAGATACTCTAAGGCTTTAGACTCTTAAAGCAAGGAAATAAGATGTGAGAGAGCCAGGTGATCAGGAACCAGGTGATCAGGAACCAGGTGATCAAGAACCAGGTGATCAGGAACCAGGTGATCAGGAACCAGGTGATCAGGAACCAGGTGATCAAGAACCAGGTGTACTTTTTATTTCTAGCAAAGGGACTTTAATGTCTCATCCTGTTAGACTGTCCCACTTTATTCTTAGTTAACCTTTTAATTCAATTCAATTCAAAAATACTTTATTAACCCCAAAGGGAATTTAAACAGTCCCTCTTCCCGACAGGAAGGGGTTAAACTAAATCACTTTAAAACCTCAGGACTTGCTCTTAGGCAGGAAACAGAAACTTAAATATAAAGTGAAGGTCGATCAGCAAACAAAAACTCCCAATTTAAGAATTTATAGTTAGGAAGAGAAATATATACAGAAAGAAGTAAATGAATTTGTCTCTTGAATTTTGCAGTAAAGCAAACTAATCCAGGGTCTGTTGAGGTTTCATTAAAACTGGAAAATCTCTTTTTGCAAAGGCTGATGTAAGTTTCACTGCTCTACTTAAGTTGAAGTTATGAGGAACACTGTGAGTGTTCAAAATGTTCTTTTGATTTCTTATCCTTGACGAGATAAAGACGGTCTCATGTAACCACCAATCTTCCTGTTTACTATGACTAAGTTTGAGAATTACATGTGATGGAATCTGAAATACGGTAAACGCAGACGAACATGTTTAGACTCGCTCGTTTTGGTTCCCATCTGATCTCATCTTAGATGAGGCTATTAAAAACTTGGCTTTGTGAAGAAGATGGAAGAACAGATTGAAAGTCGCTGCCTGACGGATGAAATAAAGAAATGTTAACAGGTAGATTTTAGAAGGAAAACATCTGCAACCAGCTGAACTGGTTACCTGTCAGGTCTGGCTGGCAGCTGAAATGACTCAGTTCTGCTGATATCATATTATAGAGGCACATAACAGAAACAGATACAGTTACTATCACCTTTTTCCAGGAACAAGCACAGAGTTTAATGAATAAATAACTTTCTATTTTTAATTTGCATCACTCACAGCCAGTCCTGACCTGAACCTGAAAATAATTTGTAGAGGAAGTTAACCATGTTGGCTCAGAGACTTAAGACGGGTCCAGTGTAGAAAGGCGGGGAAGTAAGTTTCTCATACATGCATCTTCTGTTGAAGTTTCAGTGGAGAGGAGTTCTGTTTAATCTGAAAACTGCATGTTTTACAGATAATCTGAAAGTATTAACGATTGTTCTGACTGAAGAGAGAAGATGGTAATCTAATAAAACCGATAAATTACTCTATCCTTCACCATCGTACAGTCAGGAGGACATGCAACATAAAAAGTGAGTCCCAGATTGTAAAGATGAGAAACGGGAGGCAGCAGAGAGCTGTGCTCAGAGGATCCTATGTTGGAACCAATGACAGGTTTAACCTTGGAGGAGCCACAGAGAGCACAGGATCAGTAATGCTGGGAAACATTAAAACATGAGAAGACCACAGAGGTTGACAGTCAGGCAAAGAACGACGGCCAGACAGCTCCTTGTATCTGCCGCTTGATTAACCACCAACGTCTCTGCAGACGGATATTTTCCTCGCTGGCTTCGTCCCTGTTGTTCTTCAGCCTCATCTGAAGGGAAATGACCTTGATTCCTTTATCCTTAACTAGCAGAATAAATCACTGGACCGCTCTGCTTTCTGGCCCTGCTGAAGGAACTAAAGCTGCAGCTGCAGGAATGCTGAAGAAAAGCTGGTAACACTTTATTTGAAGGAGTGTGGATAAGACTGACATGACACTGTCATGAACATGAAGGGTCTTTATGAATGTTCATGACAGTGTCATGTCAGTCTTATGCACAGCCCTTCAAATAAAGTGTTACCAAAAAGCCCACATTACTCCGACCCGAAAGGCTCTGGCTGATCTGGCCCTCCTGAACCTTCAGGTCTTCTGTTGAAAACCAGAGGAGCAAAACTTAGTGAGGCGCTGCTCTGCTGATGAACAGCCTTCCTGCTTACAGTTAATAAAAACATTTAAAATTAGAATATTACAACAACAAAATAGACCAACAACAAAAAACTACTTTTAAAACGTCTAACATTATTTTCAAAAGCTCCTTCATCTGAATCCATATCCTAATTTACTGAAATGACTCTCCACACCAATGTGTTGCTTATAATTAATTTCTCTTTTAATTCTTTGACTGTATCTTTGTGTTTCTGCCTGTTTACTTAGATTGGTCAGTTTTCCAGTGTTTTTATTTCTAACCTCCATAAATCTTTTCATGCACTTAGCTGTATGAAACGTGATGTAAATCAGGAATAATTGTTTGATAATTAATCTATATAAAGTTATTGGTCATCTTTATGACTACATACCTGTTATTTACACAAACCTTCTCATCTTTATCAGTTTATATCACTGAGCTTCACCTTTAACCTCTCGATATTCACAAACCGAATAAATACAAGATCAGAAAAATCTGTATGAAGAGACGGTTTATTGTCTTACAACTTGTTATAAATCAAACACACACATGAAGTATGAAAAATTCACTTTAGGCAGAAAAACAGAAATATTGACACTTTTAAAGAGGCGGAGCCTCCTGTTGGTGAGCTGCTGTATTTCACCAGAGGAAACGTTTACAGAAGGATGAAAGTCAAAACAGGATCATTTTACATTCTTCATTCTGCCTTCAGCAAAGAGAGACATTTAAAACATGACAGTAAATACATGGCCAGCTGCATGGACAGTTTATCTGTAGCAGTTAATGTCAACCATTTTGTTACTTAAAGGTTATTCCACCAAGCTTTCTCTGTAAAGGGAAGTGGTTCAGTGCCCACAGAGAGAGAGAGTGCCATGACAGGGAATCAAGAGAAATCAAAGTTAAGAGAAAAAAGTGGTTTTACAGAGCAACCTGTGCATCCTGTAAGCAGTTCCTGGCTGCAGGAACTGCTTCCTGCAGCCAGGAACTGCTTCCTGCAGCCAGGAACTGCTTCCTGCAGCCAGAACCTGCTTCCTGCAGCCAGGAACTGCTTCCTGCAGTTTTCCTGCATACCAGAAGAAAATGTTTTGGCGTGAGATGTGCAGCATTATCCCACAGAGCATGGATGGATTCAATAATACAAGTTAGTCATGCCATAACAAACATCCAAATACACAAAACAGTTAATAAAACAAACACACATGGAATAGCAACCATTAGAACACAGAAATCCTGCTTCCATCCCTTTGACTGATTGCTTCCATTAACTTCATTTCAGTCCATTACTTCTATAATTATGAAACCTGTGCAGTGATGCTGGTTAATTATCAGACAGCTCTGATGGTCTGCATGACTTCTGCAACTGGAGTCGAATCCTGTGAGAAATGGACGCCATGTCCAATCAGAGAGCTGCTCTGGATGTGAATGGACCACACCCTTCATTCCAGCTGAGCTCTTAATTATGACGCACTAACCTCAGCCTTGTTTATGCACGTCTTCCATAGTTTGTCTTTCATTCAATATATAACGATAAATATACAGAAAATGCAGCAAACCTCCATTGTAACATTGCGATGCAGTGAAAATGAAATATATACAAGGACTTATAAGACTAATTAGAGAAAAAGAGTCCAAAACAAGAACATTTAAAAAAGATAGACTTCCTCTGTCCAGCCAATAGTCAAAAATAAAATATTACAACCATTTAGCTTTCTGCTGTTTTTATTTACAAAATGAATGTGGAAAGTTTTGGAATCCTTCATCTGAGGATCTGTTAGGATCTGTTAGGATCCCTGAACGGTTTGGTCGACTATTGAGCAGCCTCTTATTTGTATGATCGTTTCTGCTTTGACAGTTGATCTGCTGCTTCTCCCTCAGTACTTTTACACATTTGAAGATATTTTTCCTTCGTGCCTTTTGTTATTAACTCATCTGTTTTTGTTTGCCTGTTGTTGTTTATTTATTCAATTCATTTCAGTTTATTTACGTTGCACAACTTACAATAAAAGTAATCTCGAGGCACTTTTCAAAAAAAGTCCTTTCAGTTCAGGCTCATCCATTCCAGTTAATCTGAGTTAATCTGTCAAACGGTACATTAAGCTGTTTATTCAAATTGGGTTAAAAAGTTTTCTATTTTAGCAGATTGGATCAGGTTTGTATGCAGTACTTGAATTACTCATTAACTCACAATGAATAAACCAACAAAAATTCTGAATGACCCACCAAATGTTTACAGTAAAACATTAAAATAGCTTAAACACATACCTGAATTAAAATGTCTCAGAGGAAGTGAGCTGAATGCACATTAAGTCAGAACTAGGAGGGATGTAATATTGATAGTTTTGTTTTTGAACTTCTTAGAGTCATGGTTGGACTCCGTTTGTGGTTCGACTGCAGAAAAAGTTCCTTCACTTTTTTCCGGAAGTTTTTCCCAACAATGACGTAGAGAATGGGGTTAAGAACGCTGTTGAAGAATGCCAAGTAGGTGAAGATCTGTCCAAAGAAGTGCTGGATTTCCTTAGAGGTGCAGACTGTCAGGATGCCGGCCTGGTGGAGCCAGGTCGGGACTTCCCGCAGATGGAACGGGACCCAACAGAACAGGAACGCCAGCAGGACGACCAGCACCAAAGTGTCGGCCTTGTGGTCATTTTTCTTTGCATTTACTCCATCCACAAACCTGTTTCTCAGAGCTTTGAGGATGTTCACAGTGCAAAAGAAAATGATGGAAATGGGAATAAAAAACCCTAACACCAAAATCATCAACTCAGTTGTCTTTAAATCATCTTCAGTACAAGAAGTAATATTTCTGTGAGATACCAATTTCCTGTTGATAAATTTTGGAACACTAAGAATTAATCCCAGAATCCAAACCACACCACAACTAATTTTAGCACATTTTGGGCAACGCATTCCCCCATGGGACAGTGGATGGACCAGAGCCAAATAGCGATCGATGCTAACCAGAACCAGGAAGTAGATGCTGCAGTAAACGTTCATCAGGATGCTCACGTTGACCATTTTGCACATGGCAAGACCAAAAATCCATTCAAACTTATTCCAAGCGCTGACAGCCCAGAAGGGCAGGAAGGAGACCAGCAGCAGGTCAGCAGCAGCCAGGTTGCTCAGGTAGATCTCAGCCACGGTGCAGGGCTTCTTATGGAGGATGAAGACCATCAGCACAAAGATGTTGAAAACTATTCCCAAAACAGAGATGGACAGGATGTACGCTGGGACATAAGTGAAGGACCAGTCGACGGATTCACGTGAGCAATTAGGTTGTATTTCGTTTCCATCTTCAGCCAGTGAGGTCAAATGACCAGGGAGGCTGCAGAGAAATGATACAAAATAAAACTAAATATTAATGGTGCGTTCACACCAAACGCGTTTTGAGCATCAGGTGCGTCTGGTTTACATTTAGAGTCTCTGTGGAGGCGCGTCGAGGGCCGTTGTGCCGCAATTTGAACCGTTTGGAGTGTTTGATGTGTCCAAAGTGTCCAACACTCCACATAGACTTTGGATGTAAACCAGACATGCAACACGTTTGGTGTGAACGTGTCATTAGAGCAGGCAAGGGGAGTTAAACGTTATATATGGAGCTATTACAAACTAAAAAACTGATTTTAAATTATTGCCAGCTGGCCTAAACAGTTTAAGTGAGCCCTGAAAAGTATCTGCAGAGGCTATTAACAGAACTGTTCAGTAATAATAATAATTATAATGATAATATCTCTTTTACAAGAGAGACCTGACCAAGCCTGGCAGAAACGTAAAAACAAAACAAAAGCACACTGTTACAACACATAATCACAATAAAGATAAACTTGCAGTAAATTATTTTATGGCTCTATGTAGACTTTGCATTTCACCTCAGAATATCCCTCATGTTCTCTGTGAACATTTCCAAACTTATCAGTTGTATTTTTCACCTTCAAATGTTTCTTCAAACTGAATAAAGCATGTTGAGACAAACTCAGCCTGTAAGTTGATAAAAAGAAAAACCTGCTCTTCAGCTTTAAATGCATCAGTCAGCACTCTGCATGCAGTCATAATACTCATTACTTTGCAGAACAGTAAATATTGTTAAGTTGTAGGTGGCAGTTACTGAATCTTAGATGTTTAATTAGGAATATTCAGCAAAGCCTGTGCATACCTGGTGGTTAAAAGAGCCATTGTTCAGAGAAAGCAGCCAACAGTAAGTCCCCTCAAGTCTTCACTGCATGTCCTCGGTGTGTGTGAGAGTGTGTGTGGAGTGTGCAGAAGTAGGTGAGCTGGTTTGAGCTGATGTGAGCCGTCTTTAAATATGAGATGACTTGCTTGGTTCCCACCCACTCTTCAGGAAGTCCCTCCCCAGTTCTCCTCCTGCTGCTGCAGAGTGACTCTCCAGCAGAGCAGATCTGCTCTGGATCTGATTAAACTCCATCAGTCAAAGTCAAGACGACGAACAAACCGGCTTTAATCGTTTTACATGGCGAGGGATGACTAGGATGGTTTCTCTCATTTCTACACATTAGGAATAATTATGTTTTACCATAAACCCATAAATTATTCAGTGACCCAACATTGTTTGGTTCTGAATCAATTATTTAAGTAACTTTCTTAAAGCATTTATGAGGGAACAATAACCAGGATTATTGATCCTTAGACTCTGTGTTCAGATCTCAGACCCAAATATCTAAAAAGAATTTTATTTAATAAAGTTTTAGAGTCTAAGTGTGATGATCTATAGATGTTTGGACTTTTAGTTTCTGGTTTTGATCATTTTTTATTATTTTTTTAGATTCTGGCCTTAATTTGCTTTTCTGTGCTTGAGCCATTTGAGACAGAAACCCTGGACCTTACAGAGCAAATTTTACGTTTGAAATATATTTATTTTCTTTTTGCATTGTGTATTGTGGCCCAAAGTTTCTGGATTCCTGAAGTTATTGTAAATTTGCCTCCATCTTGTCTAAACTCTCCCCGCTGCGCTGTGGGGAGTTTCAGTTCAGCTGCTTCCATGTTAACTCTTTGAGAAAACAATGTTTTTCTACTTTACATTTTTAACAAAGTTTTTAGTTTTTCCCTCAGCTGTGCCACATTTCCCGATCAGAGAATCTGCTTCTCTTGACTTTTACAGCCTCAGCATTTGGACTCCTGGTATTTTATTGTTCAATGCTGCTTTCTCTTCCATTTCCTGATTTTATATCCAAGCTCCCTGTCCGTTTTAATAAATTTACGTTTTGTTAAACCTTCCACTAATGGAAGGTTTCAAGAATCTGAAAAAATCCAAGATTTACAAAGTGGACCCGTTTTAAAACTGAACACATCGAGTGACGTGTTTAAATCATTCAGTAGGAAAATAATCCGCATGTATTCAGTTACTCACACAAGCACACAAGCAGGAAGACTTTATTGCAATAACAATTTAGTTTTTGTTTTTTTACAGCATATTTACAGAGCATGACTGTGATTTTTTATTGTGCAAAGTCAAAAATATATGGAACCTAAATCATTTGACTTGAGGCAGGTGAATCAGTGGCTCCGTTAACTGATGTCAACATGTTGAGTCTGTTTGAACCCGGCCTGTCCAGATGCAACCCAATCCGGTTCTGTCGTTTCCATGGAGATTCCCGTGAGCCTCCAGCTGATGGAGGTTCAGCTCACTTTGACCCGAGTCTTTTCAGCGTATGCATTAGAATCACAATATTATCCAAACTGCAGCTGCACAATGCAGCTGGGTTCAGATCCCGGCTCAGTTGTTCTGCATGGAGTTAGCATGTTCTCCCTGAGCATGCCGGGTTCTCTGCAGGTTCTCCGGCTTCTTCCCAGTCCAGAAACACGACTGCTACGCTGATTTAACTCGGAGGAATAACTCAGCTCTTGACTCGTTCTCTTCGTGGTTCTAATTATCTGAGGAAGTAGAAATCTAACTTATTCCTCAGCCCCATGAATCCAACATATTGTAATCGTCTAATAGCGCATCTGCATGCTGGCTGCGGTCGGGTCTCTACCGGCTGTTAGCTAAACCCAGGCTCAACGGGTCACATCGCACCGACTGCCTCCCTGCCTCCTAATTTTCATCTGAACTGACCTGATGTTCCATCTGAACCTGTTATAGACGTAAAAACAGATAAACGAACAGCAGAGAAGTATCTGATCATCCTCTGGGCTCAACAGAACTGTTCTGTTTCCAATGAAGGATGCCTGCTGTACCTTTACAGCCAAACAGCAGGATGAGATTATGGGCCAAAATGTTTTAAAAAGCATTAAGATGTGAAATGCATTGGTTTCAGTAGTTGTAAATGTAGGATGCAGAGTTTCTGCTCAGCTAAAAAACAAACGGCGAGTCAGCATGACTACATGCAGATCAACAGAAAGCATACAGCATGTGATCCGGTCCTGATGCTTCAGATTCAGGATCCTGATGGTTTTTGTCAAAGTTCCTTAGAAATCTGCTCAGTTTGTGTGTTATGCTAAAACGCCCAAAGCTAAAACCAAAACAGATGTTAACTTACTTATGGATGCAGTGTTATGAGATCAGAGCTAATCCTGAGTCACACCTGACTGAACAACCCTACAGCGTTACCATGGAAACAAAAAGACTGAAATTCCTGAACAGCACCTTAGTCATGCTAACCTTAACGACCCGTTACTGGACCCGTTACCAAGTGGGTCCAGTAGTTTCTCCCACCAAGAAGTGTGTTCACCAGAATGTCATAATGGCTGCTGACAGTTTCTATTAAATATTCTGTTAGAAATTAGCTTCAGCGCTAGTGGAAAATTAAAGCAGTGCTGCCTGGCAGCAGGAAGGTCCTGGGCTCAAATCCCAGCCTGGGGTCTGTGGATGTTCTCTCTGTGCCTGCGTGGCTCAAACACAGAGCTGGTTTGGCCACCAACACAACGTCTGTTCATGAAGCCGCTGCAGTGAAATTCCTCAGAGCTTCAGACGCAGACAGGAACTGTAACTTGAAACTGTTCGTCCATTCTGGGTCAGGCAGCTGCTTCGTCTCTCTGTCCAACTCCTGTCCAGAAGGGCTGGTTTCTAAAAACTGTGTCCCAAATCCAACACAGCTGAATCAAAGGGCTGAATTACATCCTCAGGTTATACAGAATCATGCTAATGACCTGATTAAATGCAAACTAAATTTAGCTCAGGACTGGTGACATTAGGACTCTGACAACCAAGAACTGGGTAAAGAACACTTGATGATGAGATCTGAGATCCTGGTCCCTCTGTGAACCAAGATCTCATGAATCTGACACACAATCAACGTCCGCTAACGCTAAGGTAGCATCTACAGTCCACATTTCTACATGAAAGATCAGGACTTCTGAAACTCTGGAAAGATGAACTTTACTCCAATCTGATGGCTGAAAAACCTGAAGATTAAAATCTGTAAATATTTTTACTGTTGAGCTCACATGTCTATTTATTCAATAACTTAGCAGCAAAAATGGGTTTTTGAATTGAAAATGTTGCTTATTTCATCAATAAGGTTTTCAATTAAAATGCAATTAATTACAAACTTGTAAATTAACTCAATTAAAGTTTCTAATCCAGTCCATCCACTAATCCCAATTGATGGATAATCTGTCATAAAATTGGCAGTTAATTTTAAATGTGTCTTTATGTTGTCTTTTAAGTGAGAAATTCATCAAGAACACAAAAGTGTGGATTTGGTGAAGGAATGCTAAATTTTTACTTCAGATGTTCATCTATGAAAAATGACTATAAGTGTAAAAAAGGAAGAAAACAGATACAAAAGCTCACAGTTCAGGACAAAGATGTCATTGAGTCTGTAACCATTAAAGTGGACAAGAGCAGAATAACATCCTCTACCAATGCCGCCTGCTCAGGTCGGAGCAGAGTTACTGTATTAATTGTTGTGCCATCTTATGAAGAGCAGAGGAGGAAGTGGTTAGAGTCCTATTTGATCTTTAGCATTAAAGATGACCACCGGCCGTATTTGCTCTGTTCTGTTCACAAACGTAGACACCAGCGAGCGCTGATATGTGGTCATGTCTGAGCCTCTGCGCTGGTGTCTGGCCCTCCTGCAGACGGCATCAAGTTTCCTTCTGAAGTACTGACCAGAGAAGACGTAGAGCAGCGGGTTCAGCAGGCTGTTGAGAAAGGCCAGGTACACGGAAACCTGATCGCCCAGGCTGAGGGTGTGAGACCACAGCTTTCCGTCCAGCACTTCCACATCACACAGCGTGTCGAGGAAGGTGAGGACCTGGAAAGGACCCCAGCACAGTAAAAATAGCAGCGTGACGGCATAGACCAGCACCGTAGCCTTTGTATCGTTGAAGTCATGAAATGCGAGGTTTTCCGTCCTCCGAGCCAAAGCCTTGATTATATTCCAGCTGCAGAAAACAATGACAAGGACAGGAAGTGCGAAGCCTAAGGTGTTCATCATAATCTGATGGGCGAGCTTCCAGGAACTTCCATGGGTGTAATCTAGAATGCAGGAAGTGGTATTGTATTCCTCAATGAACTTGACCTTTCTGTGAACTAAGGTTGGCAGACTGAGAAGCAGCCCAAACATCCACACAACGAAGCAGGTTATCTTAGCATACAGCGTCCGTCTCAGCCACCGCGCCATCATGGTTTTCACCAGCGCCAGGTAGCGGTCGATGCTAATCATGACCAGCGTGTAGATGCTGGTGTAGAAATTGATGACAATATTGGAGTTGACCAGTTTGCACAGAGCGTCTCCGTACGACCAGTTAAACTGGTTCAGGATGTACATGGCCCAGAACGGCAGGCCACACAGCAGCAGGAAGTCGGCCAGCGCCAGGTTGCTCAGGTAGATCTCCGCCACGGTCAGGCGGTCCCTGTGGGCTGCGAACACGGCCAGGACGAAGCCGTTGAGGAGAAGCCCCAGCAGCGACAGGATGAAGATGTAGGGAGGGATGACGGTGTGGATCGTCTGCCAGTCTGTGGGGTCTGGAGCGTCCGACGGGCCGAACGGGACAAACCAGCTGCTGTTCTCAGACCAGGAGGCCGTAGATACAGGCGGGAGAGACTCCATGAGCTGGAGACAAAGAAAAACCAGTGAAATGATGTAGATGGTACTGGTGGACGGAGAATTTTATTGTTAGGTTTTTATATAGTGATTCTGATAAAGATCATGATTTTGAAAAAAATTACCTGTTTTTAGGTAATAAGTCTGACTGCAGCATTCATACCACCATAAACACAAATACTTTAAAACATTCCCAAAGTTTCCATTACTTTAAAAGTGAGATATCACTAAACCGCACACAGTGACTACATTTAATCATATTTTGGAATTTACTAATATTTATTGACGTTTTTGTGGAACAAACGGTGGAAGAAAAAAGCTAAAATATTACCAATCATCCTGTTTGACTGGAAATCGTACTGGACACCTGATGGTATCTCGCTGTAAAGTCGACACATCGCAGACAATCGTCTGCTGTTGCTTGTTATTTAAACAATAAACTGAACTTAATGCTCTGATCGACAATTACGATCATTTGGAATAATTTTATGATTTAAATGACTTTTTTAATGTTTGAGATGATTTTTCCATCATACTTCCTTCCATCCTTTGCTTCAGATAAACCAACCTGTGGGGCTTGTTGAACAGCTGAATCATGTAAAGTTTCAGTAGATTTTAATCTCCATGTTTGTGACGGTAAGTCATCAAATCCCAATCGATCAGCTTTCAGTCATTCTGACCAGCCGATGCCACCAATCGCTGCAGCTCTCTAACGTTTTCCTTCCTCCTCGCCGTTTGATCCTGGTTCAGCCTGGCGGCCAGTGAATAAAACAAACCAAACTCAGTTACTGTCATCATGACCTCTGAGGGAAAAAGGTTGTGATTTGTTAATTGATTCAAAATGTTTGATCGACCATAAGAATATTTATGTTGGATTTTCTCCTGAATAAACAATAAACCCAGATAAAGGATATCTTCATTCTCACCTTGAGTTTTTATTCAGATCTCTACATTTTACATCCATTTATACAAATCGATAAATGGACACATGAATATTAAGAAAATGCATATATCTCTATGTTTGAAGACAGTGGTTAAAAGAAATGTCATTTTATTGTTAAAGTATAAAGTAGTTGTGGTAATAATAACTGATCTAATATCAGACACTGAGGGAAAAATAGTTTTAAGATCATAGCTTTAACCCAAACTTCATGAAAGTTTTCTGATCACTTCTGCCTGGACCGACACCGATTTATTATGTAAACCGCCTGTTTCTGTTTCACCCAGAACAAAACAAAACCAACCGGTGACGTTCTTACCTTCAGCTGGAGGAGAACGCTCCTCATTTGGTCAAGGCAGCTGCCGTCTGCAGCAGGTCTGAGCTGTGCACACCGAGCTTCATCCAGCACGCAGCAGCGGAGAAGCAGATCTGCTGCAAGGAGCTTTGTATACAGCTGAGATCCTCCACACCCTTAGCCAAGGACTTTAATTTATCACATTGTTTGGAAACGGTCAAAGTTCTGTTGACCTTATGTAGGAAGTTAGTGTAAACTGCAGAGTGCAAAATGTGCTGGAGACATTCAGAAACACGAGTGTTTCCTCCTGCATTAGTTAAAGTTTTAAACCATTAAATACGTTTTAGGACTAAAGATAATCTGAACAAAACAAGAATCGGTTTTCCAAACTCAGATCTTTAATCCGTTCAGACTTATAAACGACCATCAGCAGTTTGAAGTCTCTTCTCTCAGTGAAGGACTGGGTGGTGTAGAACCAGGTGGTGTAGAACCGGGTGGTGTACAACCAGGTGCTGTAGAACCGGGTGGTGTA